CATAAGCTATCCTCCGCATAAGCCTCCCATGGAGTGACTATTTCGGCGGGTGTTATATACGGGGGATTACGTTAGTTGAGCTACTTTTTCTTGTTAGGTTCTATGTCAACTTATACATATATTGGTATGTAGAAGTTATAGGCTAGATAGGGTATGTTCTTAGTGGGTACAACCCAAATGCTATATCTCCCCTGTTCTCCCTTCTTCTAATCATTCTTTCTAGTCTTAACATGGTATCACGAGTAGGTAGGTCCACCCACCCCCTTCCGCCCCGCGCCGCCACCTACCCGACCCTCGTGCCCCTAGCTGGCCCCGCGCGCCCCTACGGCCCTGTTGCGCCCCTACGGCCCCGTCGCGCCCCTAGCAGGCCCCGTCGCGCCCCTAGCAGGCCCCGTCGCGCCCTTACGGCCCTGTCGCGCCCCTACGGCCCTGTCGCGCCCCAAGCAGGCCCCGTCGTGCCCCTACGGCCCCTCGCACCCCTAGCCGGCCCCGTCGCGCCCCTAGCTAGCCCCGTCGCGCTCCTACGGCTCCGTCGTGACCCTACGGCCTTGTCGCACCCCTACGGCCCCGTCGCGCCCCTAGCCGGCCCCGTCGCGCTCCTATGGCCCTGTCGCGCCCCAAATCGGCCCCGCGCACCACTACATCCCCTCGCGCCCCTAGCCGGCCCCGTCGCGCCCCTACTGGCCCCTCGCGCCCCTAGCCGGCCCTTTGCGCCCCTCCGGCCCCTCGTGCTCCTACCGCCCCCCCCACCTCCCCCGCGTCCCTAGCCGGCCCCACGCGTCCTTGCCGGCCCCGCTCGCCCTAGCCGGCTCCTTGTGCCCTAGCCGGCCCCTTGCGTCCTAGCTGGCCACGTCACCTGAGCCGCCGAGCCGCCAAGTCCCCGAGCCGCCGAGCACCCGCGCCGCCGAGCCGCCGAGCCGCGGTGCCGCCGAAACGCCGTGCTGCCGAGCTGCCGTGCCGCCGAGTCGCCGTGCTGCCGAGCCGCCGAGCCGCCATGCCGCCGTGTCCCCGAGCCGCCGCGCCGCCGAGCCGCCGAGCTGCCGAGTCGCTCTGCCACTGAGCCGCTGTGCCGCTGTTACCATGTGCAATAGCGGACGCCGTTCTTCGCTTGGACGATGAGGGGCACGCGATCGACTTCGTCGCCTGGCTCGTCAACCTCCGCTGGCACCTGACAGGTCAGCGCTAGGATGGGCACTCCCTGGCTATGCATGTTGATGGTTTGCTTCCCCGCCCCCCTGCGCCTGATCCCCTCCCCGCTGACCCTACCACTGCTGAGAGCGAGGCTTTTGCTGCTGCTGCGCTTGCTCCAGATGTCTGGGATTCTCGCGACGCAGTAGCCCAGCTTGCCATTAGCCATGCCCTCCCCCTGTCTGAGCGTCCGCGCTTTACCGCTGTCGCGAACGCCAAGGACTTTCTCGCTGCAGTATTTGAGCATTACTCCACCCCTGCTTCCGCATCTGCTGGCTGCTTGATCCTACCCATGCTCTTCCCTGATCTTTCTGCTTTCCCCACGGTAGCTGACCTCGCTACTCACCTCCGTGCACTAGAGACCAGCTACCGCGCTGCTAGCTCTGCCGCCCAGCTTACTGCCTCCCCCCCACCTTTCTGCGCTACCATGTACCTCATCGCCATGCGCCTACCTAACAGCTTAGCCACTGCCTACGACCACTTCCTTAGTCAGCACCCTGCTGACCTCACCCTGACCGCCTTAGTCACTACTTTGTCTGAGATAGAGACTCGCCAGCGCACTATCGCTCAGTTGAGCGGTGTTGCGGCAGTCCCTATCTTTCAGGGCTGTGGCCCCTCCTAGGGCACGTACGCTGACGTCTCCACCGCAGTTGCCACGACTGCTCCTGCTCCTGAGACAGCAGCTGCGGCTTACCCGCAGCAGCGCCAGCGCCGGGGCCGCCATGGCCCAAAGGGAGGACGTGGAGGTGGCGCTAGTGGTGCTGGTGGCGGGGACAGTGGTTCTGACGAGGGGGTTGGTGCTGGTGCTGAAGAGCAGCAGCAGTCGCCGCAGTCGCAGCCGCCTGAATAGCAACAGCCATCACAGCAGCAGCAGCAGTAGCAGCCGTGGGCTCGTCTCCCACCCGGGTGGCCAGGAGCCCCTGGCGGTGGTGGTCGTGGTGGTGGCCCTCGCAGCTCGGTGTCCACCGGCAGCTTCGGTGCTGTGAGCTGCCAGTACCAGCTTCAGACTGGGCCTTTATGTGGCACGGTGTGCCGCCACTCGCACCCTACCGCCCGCTGCTTCCGCCGCCTCGACGACCTCTTCCGTCGCCGCTTTGGTCCCGCCTGCTGCGCCACGGTGTGCCTGTGTTTGACTTAGACATGGATCAGAGTAGTTCCGCCTTGCATTCTCTGTATGCTAACGCTTCGAGTGTTGCCGGATCGTATTACTCTGTGTTCTCTAGCTTAGGCGCAGCACCTGTATGTAGTCCACACTCCCCTGCTGCGTCAGGTGTAAGACAGCTTGCTTTGTCTAACCTAGGCTCTACCATTGCTCTTTCGTCGTCGGCCACTACGGCGTCGCTGTCCTTCACTCTAGACTCCGGTGCGTCAGCCTGTTTCTTCCGCGACCACGCCGCCCTCACGCCGCTTGCTGCGCCTGCCACTGTCGCCCTTGCGGACCCCTCCTCTGGTCCTGTAGTTGCTCGCAGGTACACTTCCCTTCCCTGTCCGGCGGTTCCCTCGGGTTCCCTTACATGCCTGCATATCCCTTCGTTCTCCAGGAACTTAGTTGGTGTCGGCTGTCTCCAGGACCTCGACGTCACTACTACGTTCCCTGGTAACGAGCGGTACGCGGTCTGTTCCGAGGCCGCTTCAGGTGCCCCCCTTGCGTACGGGGTTCCCCCGGGACACTGTGTCTGGCCTGTTTACGCTGGACACTGCTCCCCCCCCGGCGGGCGAGTCCTCCTTCGGTCCTACGTCCACCCGGGTAGCTGCGGCCTGCTCGTGTCGGTCTCTCACTCACCCGTCCCTGTTGAGGCACCACCGTCTAGGTCACCCCTCGCTCCCGCGCCTGCGTCACATGTCTCAGCACGGTCTAGTCCTCGGCCTCCCTGCGTCGCTCCTTGCTCTCCCTCCCTCGCCTGCGCCGCCGTGCACACCCTGCGTTGAGGGCCGGCTGCGCCGTGCTCCTCACTCCTCCTCACTTCGCCCTGCCACTGCACCCCTTCAGACCCGGCACTTGGACGTCTGGGGCCCAGACTCTGTCCCTGGGCCGCGTCGTGAGCGCAACTTTCTTGTGCTGGTTGACGACTTCACGCGCTACACTACGGTGTTTCCCCTGGAGCGGAAGGTCGACGTGCCTGGCATTCTTATCCCGTGGCTCGTCGCTGCGCGCCTCCACCGCGGTGTCCCTATGCTGTGTCTCCACTCCGACCGTGGCGGCGAGTTCGCCTCTGGTCGGCAGGGTCAGTTGTGTCGTGCGGAGGGTATCACCTAGACGTACACCCTACCGGACTCCCCACAGCAGAATGGGGTCGCTGAGCGACGCATCGGTTTGGTCATGGAGGTGGCTCGTACCTCCATGATCCATGCCGGTGCACCCCATTTTCTGTGGCCATTCGCCGTTTGCTACACCGCTCACCAGCTTAACCTCTGGCCTCGCTCTCAGCGGCCACATGTTTCGCCGACCCTCCTTTGGACCGGGTTCCCTGGTGACGCGTCTGCGTTCCTCATCTGGGGCTGCCTTCCTCACGTTCGTGCCTCCGGCGCGGACAAACTCACTGTCGGCAGCGTCTCCTGTGTCTTCCTCGATTTCCTCGTTGACTCGTCTGACTGGCACTTCTACCACCCGCCGTCTCACCGCTTCCTTCACTCCCGTGACGTCACTTTTGACAAGTCTGTCTCCTTTTTCCACCACTTTCCTCACCGAGGTCTCCCGGTTCCCCCCCCCTGTTTTTGGTTTCCACTCTCCCGGTCGCCCCTGCTCCCCTCCCTCCCCGTCCTGCTCCGTCTGGTGTGTCTCACGTCACTCCCCTCCCGTCGGTTGTCCCGGTCGAGGAGTCGGCTGACTCTCAGGTCCTTAGGTCCTCCCAGGGCTACTGTTTTAGCCTGGGTTCTGGTGCCATCTCGTGGAGGTCCACTTGTCCTCGTCTGTTGCCCAGTCTAGCTGTGAGGCTGAGATCTACGCCGGTGCCATGGCGGCACAGGAGCTCCGCTGGCTGACCTTCTTGCTTGCCGACTTAGGTGAGCGGCCTAGCTCCGCCCCGGTTCTGTACGTTGACAACAGGGCCATGATCCTCCTGTTTCAGGAGCCTCAACTTGAGGGCAGAGCGAAGCACATCCAGCTGCGGTACTTCCTCCTGCGCGAGCTTCAGCAGCATCGCCAGGCCCGCGTAGTACACTTGGCCTCCGGTGCCAATACAGCTGATATCTTAACTAAGGCGCTTCAACCTAGAGATCATCAGCACTGCTTGCAGTTAGCTCTAGTCCCTGTTCACTCTCACTGGCTAGGCCCTTGATTGTGTACTCCTTTCTATTTATGCCTTCCAGACTGGCCTTCTGGCTTTTCCTCCAGTGGTTGGACTAGTAGTGCCACCCTGGTTTGCTCTGTCTTGCTTGTACTCTTGCTGACTGGTCTTCGGGCCCCTGCCTCAGTGGTTGGACTAGCAGTGCCACCCTGAGCTGCGTGTTTCTTGCTCAGCACTACCCCTTATCTAGCCTAGGGGGTGTGTCAACTTATACATATATTGTTATGTAGAAGTAGTAGGCTAGATAGGGTATGTTCTTAGTGGGTACAACCCAAATGCTGTATCTCCCCTGTTCTCCCTTCTAATCATTCTTTCTAGTCTTAACATTCTGCCCCACCCAGGCTTGGAGGTGTTATTTCATACACATGTACGGTATCCATATATACCATATATGTTTGTTAGAAATATATATAAACACTGTAGTCTGGATAGGGTTTAAGTTATATGAATACATTTTTAGGAATAAAAAATTAACAGATTGTGATTCGATTTGCGACACTGCACTGCACACTCCTCTGAAAGTCGTGTCACAATATTGGATACAACTGAGATATGCCATTGTGTCTCTCCTCTCTAGTGAACCTTTTCTTGTGATAGCTTTCAGAAATCCGCTGAAGTAAATTCCTTATCGTACAATCAGACCATTATGGTGTGCCAGAGTCACATCTCCGGGCATTTACGGTATCTCAACAGCTGGAAGGGCAGGTCGGGTTGCGGCCAAAGATTTCGTCCACAAGCCTCACTTCTTGGCGCTCAAGGAACCAGTTTGCAACAGCCTGAGCCATGGACTGCACATGAAAAGCATAATAAAATCAAAATGATACAGTGGTTTATGTGAACTGCCTTGCACGACCAAGAGTCTCGTGCGAAAATCAAGTTTCCAGACAGAGCAAACTGGAATGGGTTTGTGAAGATACACGAAAATAGGTCATGTGGGAGCAACAAAGTCGTTTAAGATCAAGCTGTGTATAGTAGTGAACGAAATCAAGAGCAAGCACTTGTAACATGGGCGTTCACTCACTTGGTTTGACAGGGTTGGACCTCGTGCTCCATGCCATGACTCGTAGAGCGCCTGGAGGAAAAGGACAGAGGAGCATGTGAGAGTGTCCACATGTGTGCGTGTGACATACCGTGGTGTGCGTGTGGCATACCGTGGTGTGCGTGTGACATACCGTGGTGTGCATGTGACATACCGTGGTGTGCGTGTGACATACCGTGGTGTGCGTGTGACATACTGTGGTGTGCGTGTGACATACCGTAATGTGCGTGTTACATACCGTGGTGTGCGTGTGGCACGAGGTAAGGAAGAAACCGTGCGGACATCGCTGCTCAGCAACCAGCCCTCCTTGTGTCTCCTCCTCTCCTCGTACACCTCCCACGCCTTGTAAACCCCCCTCTATCCCTTTGCTGCCACTGCCTGACTCTTGCCTTCCCTGCTCCAAGCCTCGCTCCTGCCCTGCCTGCTGCAGGCTCGGCACCAAAGCCAAGACCCGAGCCTGCATGAGAGGCTGTAGCTTCGTCAGCATTTCGGCTCGGTAAGCTGGGGCATGGAGCAGTCGTGAGCACAAAGGTTAGCGCCAAATCATTCCCTTGACTTGAAGCTAAGTGGAGAAATACGCTTCGGCAGCCTAGCGTATTGCGTATATACGCTAGCGTTTAATACGAATACGCTGTACGCTAGCTAAGTACGCAATACGCTAGCGTATTTCTTGGCGGGCAGCCCGGCAAGAAATACGCAAAAAAAGATGCGACAAATTTGCGACATGGCGAAACCCCACAGGGATTTTGCCATGTCGCAAACCGAAATTTGGCTTTTCAAATAGTCAACCCAACCCCTTCGCCCCTCCCAACCGCACAGCATCCCACCCAATCTGCGACTTCCAAACAACACCCAAAGAAATCTCCTTCCTCTCCCTCTGTCTCTACTCTACTCCAGCAGGGTTTAGCGCAGTTCACTCCTACGACGAAATCAGGGTACAAGTAAACTGGCGCGCTAACTTCAGTCATTTCTTCTTCCAAGATAGCGCGACCAGCTAGCTGGTTTTTTAGCGACTGCTGCTATGTCGACCCCTCCACCTAGTCCTGGTTCCCACGGAAACGACGCGGGAACCTCCCGTGCTGCGTCTTCCTCTGGCGAGCTCCTGGAGAACTCCACCCACACTATCTTTAAGCATTTCAAGTTTAACCATAAGGAGCACTCCAGGTTTTTTTACACCTGCCCGAGTTTTTTTTAGACCTGCCCGCCAGAGCGTATTTCCTAGCGTATCCAGTCCCGGAATCAAGCGTACAGCGTATATACGCTAGCGTATAATACGCTGTACGTGTATTTCTCCACTTAGACTTGAAGTCAGAGCGATAAGTTCCTGAATCATCCGATGATCTTGTCTCAACAGTGAGAAGGTTGACACAAGCCGGAGAAGGTTGAAGAGGAAGCAACCATGTAAGGCAAAGGATCATGCTCACGTGTTTCTCGTGTCAAAGGCACTCCTCTCATCTCGCCACGCCCCAGCTTATTCCGCCACTTACTATGGAATTTTTCAAGCAGGGTAGAGGGGCACTCTCTCAGTGATCGCCGGCACAGGTCCCAGTCCTTGGAATGAAATGATGCATCCACAGCAAAAGAATTGTTAATCTGATGAGAGACGTTCACAAGGGTTGGGAACGGAAGGGTGGGATTTTGTATGACAGGTGTTTTGAATGACCTGTTAGATTGAAATGGCACCGTCACCGTTGGGCAGCACAATGAGCTAATTTTCACAACAATGGAAGTCTTATCTAAGTAACACAAGCCCCATCAAACAATGCAATTGAAAACACTGAGGGCTTAGTCACTGTAAGAGCCTATTAGAAAGATTGAGCACTTACCTGCCAGCAGTCGTAGAGGGTGTTGCCAATGAAGAGAGGAGTCTGCAGCAGAGGCAGGTAGTTCTCTGGAAAAAAACACTGCACCGGAGAGAGCAATTGGCGAGAATAGTGGGGGAAGGTAAATAATGGGGGCAAAAAAGACAAGAAGAAACGACAAAAAGGAGGAGGGCCCTGATTCGGCGTAAACGCAGTCGGAACCAGAAAAGAAACATTCTCAGTTGTTCAGCTTCCTGGTGGTTCCCGTGGGAGAGCATGGCTTACAGGCAAGACTACCAACTTGCCTTCCATCTCTCTGCTGTCTGGTTCGGGAGCCGCTCCAGGCAGCCCTCATGCACCGACACGTTCTGATGGCCCAAGCACGGATGAGAGGAACGTGGTGTGGCGAGGGATGGGGTGGAAACGAGGGTGAGAGGGGAAAGTTTGGGGGACACTGTTGAGCTGCTAGAGGCAGCCCTGATGCACCGACTCGTTGTGCCAAGTACACGCAAATGACTTGCGGGCGTGGGTAGGGGGCGAGACGGGCATGGGGAGGGGCAGGTGCAGGACACACAAATCCTGATGCAGTAGGTCAACGTGCTGCGCTGACGCACCGACACACTCTGAGACGTGACGCAGGAACAAGGGAAGGGGAGGGAAAAGCCGAATCTATTGCGAGAGTGTATAACTACAATAACACCAATCAGGAACCACATGTGGCATCCGCTTTACCTGTAACCTGACCAAAGCCGAAAAGCGCTCCCTTAACTGATAGTGCCCTCCCATGTCCTTGGCGTCCAGGAACATGCCGGCATCCCCCATGCACTTCACCACAGGGGGCGACGAGGAGGAGGAAGAGGCGGAGGTAGGGGCAGAGGAGAATGAGGAGGAGGATGGGGAGGGCGCAGCAGCAACAGCAGAAGAAGCAGCAGCAGGAGGAGCAGCAGCAGGAGGAGCAGCAGCAGGAGCAGAAGCAGAGGACGAAGGGAATATGGTTGGCTGAGACTCTTGCAGCAGTGTCTTGGCGAACCAATCACAATGCAGAAAGGCTGCCAGAGCGCCAGCTGAGCCCCCCCCAAACAGGACATGCGATGCCGCCCGCAAGTTGTGATGCTGCAGCAGATGGTTCAGAACAGCAGGCACGATGTGGCTTCCTCTAAAAAAGAGGAATGTGCCATTGCGACCCTGGGGACAGGCGAGCGGGAGGGTGGGGGTAAGAGGGTGGTCTTTCCTGATGAGAGGTGTCCTGCAGCAGACATGGTGTGGCCCTCTGGCGGCCTCTGCAGAAGATAATGGTGCTGCTGTGAGAGACGCCACGAAGGGTGGCAGCATGGCAAGGGCCGGGGAAATAGAGGCAGGGAAGGAGGCAAGGGGGGGAGAGGCAGGAAAATGGTGAGATTTAGGCGAGAAGAAGGGGCACTCTCTCTCCGTATGAGGGGTTTGTGCAGCAGGAGACTGTTCACAGCAGCATGCATGCAAGCCAGGACCAGATAGAGGCAGAATCCCACACCCTTGCACTCCCTGTGCAACCTCACACTGCACTCACTCTCTCACCCACCCACACACTCTCACCCAACCAACACCCCCCACCCGCCCACACACCCACCGGCACTTGTATGGGAGAGTCTACGTTTCCTGAGAACGAAGCGCCGTCACAGTAGCGCACCAACACACGGTTCCAAGTGAAGAACTCTATAAAGTGGACAACGACAAGTGCCAGAGAAGAGAAGGTACAGAATGGCTGATAAGGGAGGTTGTTTGCTTGAATGGGATAATAATTCAAGGGAACGGGTCGCAGAGGCAGAGACAGGGAAGGCTTAGAGACTGCGCAGGTTTACACGGAGAACAAAAGCGGCAGCAGAAAGATACCAACAGTGTTAGGAACTTCTGTAAGGAGACATGTGCATTTGCCACTCTGGGAAGAGCCAACTAGCGACAAGAAACACCTCCTCCTCACCCACCGGGGTTGATCCGCGGTTCAGGCGAAAGAATGCCAATGAACTCTAACGGCCGCATCTTCCTGGACGAGCCAAGGCTGGTCAGCGAGCGACTGTAGCAGTTATCGACAGAGTAGCACCAGGCACCGCCCTGTTGGGGTAGGGTTGACGGGAAGTAGTGGGAGGATGAGTCCCACTGGCTTCTAAGATGGATCGAGAACTGTCTCAGTTCACATGGAAAAAAGACTCTGTGCTTTTCTGTTTCGCTTTTTTACGCATGGCCCTAGAGAAACCTCTGAGTCCACCGGCTTGGATGGAGTATGGCCTTGTGGAAAGGCCTAAGTAGGTCAACGTGCCAAAGTGCCTGAAACCATGAGAACAGGGACAAGCCAGAAGGTGGAGAGAGAAAGCGTAGTCAACACAAACAGGGGACTCAGTACCTCCGACTACAACACAAGTATCAGCACACCTAGGGGTACCTCCACAATTCTCAAGAAAACGGGTAACCCCACAAGAATTCGAACATCTGATTGGGGGAACAGGAGATGGAGCCTAAGATGTGGTTCGAAACATCCGGAACAAGACGACCCACTGTGGCCTCCATCGCCTGTGCCTGCCTGAAAGTGAATCTGGGCGGCGAGTTGGCCGGACACAGTGCAGCAATGTTGGCAGATACTCGTACCGTGTTTTTCTCCGCTAGTGGATATATGCTGGCGTATCGTACACGATACGCTCAGGGAGGTTTTGAGAATATGCTCCAAATACGCTGGGTTGGGCAGGTTTAAAATCCGGGCAGGCAAAAAAAGGGTATAGGGAGGGGGGCAGGGGGTGCTGAGCACTGTGATCTCTCCCCCCCCCCCCCCCCCCTCTTAAAAAAAAAATCATTAGAATCTCAAACTACAGCTCAAAATTCTAAACTCTACCCTTTCTCAGGTGAGTAGAATTCGTGGAACGAGGAGGTTGGGTTTGGGAGGTGGGGTGGGATGGAATGTGGTTGGGATGTTCTATGGGGTTGGACTTTGAATTTCTCGCTTGGGGGGTCATCCAGCGCCAACGTCAGCGTCTACGCCGCACGAGGAGCAACTGCAGCAGCCTGCCCCGCCTGATCCCTTGGCGCCGGAAGATACACGGACGCTCACAGGATCCGCGCGACTGCCTCCTCCGCCCGCGCCCGCTGCCGACGGGACAGCACGGGCTCCCGCGCATCTAGGGGCCAGCGTTCGACTGCCTGGCGAAGACAGTCCAGGACGTCCGCCAGGGAACTGAGACACTCCAGCAGAGCCTGCAGCTGCTGGCCTGTCCCAGCGGGAGCGGACGGCGCACTGGATGGAGACTCTTCAGAATCTGCAGCAGCAGCACGTCGACTTCCAACTCCTACCCGAGGGCAACTGGTGGGGGGACGCACGCGCAGCCTGGGAGGTCGCCAGGGCTGACCGATGGGCCCGACAGAGTTCGGCGGGGGGTCGCCGAGCAGAAAGCGAGACGCCTCCTCCAACCGCAAGCCCAAACGGACCGCCTCCGCCTCCGCCACGCGATCAGACGACGGCGTGGGGCGGGCGAGCGGGGGACGCCAGGAGCCCGCGCGCGACGACGCCGGTGCACGGAAGCGGTGCATCGCGGGGGGAAAGGCAGGGGGACGACGCAACAGCGATGAGCGGTACGACGGGCCAAGATAGAGCGACACGGGTAGGAGAGGGGACGCCAGAAACGGTGGAAACGGCTAACGTGGCACGCGTGGCAGCGGGCCAGCGACAGCCGCCCCTTGCGGGAAATGGAAATGCGCCGCCCAGGCGCCGCGGAAGACGAAAAAGGGGGACGGGGGGAAGAATTGGGGTGCGGATCTCAGCACGACGCCGACCAGTAGCGAGAGAAGGGGACTTGCGGGAACGACACGGACGACCACTGCGGGAGGTGGCCGGGGAAGGAGGGGATGAGACAGACGGAAGCAGCGAAGCGGATTATGTACCCACGGACCCAGTGGAGTCCGAGGGAGACCCCCACTCCAACCATGCCTCAGAGGATGAGGCAAACCGTACGCGAGGCCGGCGAAATTCCACGCAACGGCGGGAAACAACAAACTCGCCAGACATCGCTAACATCACTGAGCCAGGTCAACCCCGCTCAACGGAGGACCTGGCCAATGACGAAGAATTGTGGCAAACAGTTACCAATTGGGACACCTCGCCACTCCAAGATTTGCGGCAGGCCTTCCTGATACGGCATCTCCCCCCGAAAATTTTGGAGGGTTTCACCTCATGTGTTGTGGTGGCCCTACAGCGCATCAACCTACACCCTCCCTGTCGGGTCCAATAGAACACCAAATAGGTGCCATTGTGTCAATACGTGGCAACAACTGTATGATGACACCTGTGAATGTAAATTCGTAGAGTGCTTGTAAAAAACTGTTGGAATTAGAAAATAGTGGTAACCGGTTTCGGCTCGAAGCCTTCTTCAGACCACAGAGTCCTAAAGAAAACAAGCACTACTTATACGCCTAAAGGATGTCGCCCAAGTTTCATCTCGCACGGGGAAATCGTCGCGGAGAAATTGGGGAACAGGAAAACTCTACTGTATACTAGCACTTATGAGCAGAAACTAAAAAGTTCCCGATTCTCTTCGGCAGCCTCCACGCGATAATAGCTCTCCTTGAAGCGAAAGTGTTGTCTGGCATTATAACGAGGTGACTTTTGAGTCGACTCAAAAGTTTCCCCAAGTGTGAACGGTCAACCAAAGGGTTGAGCAAACATTTCAACACAAGGGGCCCACGTTTAGGAGAATCGCGAAATGAAGAGGCGCGAGCGAGAAGTTCGTTGCGAGAGGCGAAAGAAACTGACTTGAAGACTGGTAGCAGAAAATTCTCAGGATACCCTCTGGCTATTAGGCGAGCAAAGAAAAGGGCTCTGGAATTCAGGAAGTCAGTGCAAGATGAAGACCGCAGTAGATATCTGTGCAGTTCGCTCCGGATGAAACCAAGCTTGGTAGTCCGGGAATGATAAGACCTGTAGGGTAAGTACAGATACCGATTCATCGGCTTCTGAAACAACTTGACATCCAGAACCCCAGAATTCTTGAAACGTTCCCCTTTGAATAAGGCCACGACCAGAAAATCCATTGTAGTTTCGGACAGCACCCATGTTAGGCGAATTGAAGGATGAAGCAAGTCGAAACGTGCTTTTGGCCGTTGAAATTCCTCCCTCGACCCCTCCCACAAAATCAAACCGTCATCAATGAAGCGGAGGTGTAAAGCGGGGGAAGAAGGGATCGAATGGTGCAGCTGAATATCCAGGAAGCTCATGAAAAGGACCGAGAAGCATACTGCGACTGAAGTCCCCATGGCGGTTCCGTGAATTTGGCGGAAGAATCTGCCGGTTAAAGTAACATAGTTGTCGAACATCACCCACTTCAGCAATCGAGTGATCAGTGGAGCTAGCGGATGTCTAGCCCTCTGTAGAAAATAGGAAATTGCATCAATCCCATCAAGAAGGGGAGTCGACTGGTACAAAGATTCCACGTCGTAGGATGCGAGAAAAAAATTGTTAGAAAAACGCCGCTGTTCAAGCTTGAGTACCAGACTTTGTGAGTCTTTGACATAAGTGGACTGCTGTAAAACCAGAGGTCCAAGTATTGCGTCCAGCCAGCGAGAGTCATTAGACGTCACCCAGGAATGACAGGCCGCGATGGGTCGACCAGCTGGGATTTTCTTACGGATCTTCAAAAGGACATAGAACGCCAGAATCTTCCATTCGTTCTTAGGAGCTTTGTAGAAAGAAGTTCATATCTTCTTGTAAAAATCCTCGTGAATTGAACAGAGTTCGTGCAGAATATCGTCGACGAGGGCAGTAGAGTATTCTCTGTAGACTTTCGGATCCAGAAGATGCTGTACACATTTCTCTTCCTGCTGAAAACATGTAAACATCTAAACATGCTGAAAATTTTGGAGGGTTTCACCTCATGTGTTGTGGTGCCCCTACAGTGCATCAACCTACACCCACCCTGTCGGTAGACATGATCAAAACGCGATTGCGATTTAAATCGCATCGCATGCAGGTGCAATGTTTAAAAAAGCGATGCGATTTTAAATCGCATCGCGCGATTTGTTTTTCAAAAAAAAAAAATCGCACATCGCATTTTACCCGCGATGTATTAAAAAATCGCATGCGATATATAATTAAATCGCGCAATGCGATTTTAAATCGCATCGCGTTTTAAAACAGAATAAAAAACACCCCCAAAAAACAGAAAAAAACCATGGCTGCGGGGAAATTGACTCACGGGCAGTCGTAAGCTAGAGTGCAAATAACCAGCGTGGTTTCGTAGTGGGTTTCAGAGTGGGTTTCAGTGCAATATTGCGCGCGATTTTTAAAAAATCGCATATCGCATTTAAATCGCGTTTTTTAAGCGCGATTAAAATGCGATTTAAATTAAATCGCGCGATATTAATTCATCGCATCGCGCGATGATAAAAAAAAAAAAAAAACATCGCCATCGCAAAAATGCGATTAAATGCGATGCGATGCGATGCGATTTTTTTTGCCCATGTCTACCTGTCGGGTCCAATAGAACACCAAATAGGTGCCATCGTGTCAATACGTGGCAGCAACTGTATGATGACACATGTGAATGTAAATTCGTAGAGTGCTTGCAAAAAAATCTTGGAATTAGAAAATGGTGGTAACCGGTTTCGGCTCGAAGCCTTCTTCAGACCACAGAGTCCTAAAGAAAACAAGCACTAATTGTACGCCTAAAGGATGTCGCCCAAGTTTCATCTCGCGCGGGGAAATCGTCGCGGAGAAAATGGGGACCAGCAAGAAACGAAATAAGCACGAACAGGAAATCTCTACTGTATACTAGCACTTATGAGCAGAAACTAGAAAGTTCCCGATTCTCTTCGGCAGCCTCCACGCGATAATAGCTCTCCTTGAAGCGAAAGTGTTGTGTGACATTATAACAAGGCGACTTTTGAGTCGACTCAAAAGCCACCTCATGTGTTGTGGTGCCCCTACAGCGCATCAACCTACACCCTCCCTGTCGGGGGACTCGCGACTTCTCACCTACGTGACCGCAAACGCGTTTAGCGTTTTAAACGCATCGTTTAAACGCTAGCGTTTAAACGCTAAACGCTGCTGCTTGAGTTTCTAAACGCTAAGGTAAACGCACTCTCGGGCAGCCGGAAAAAAATTTCCGGGCAGGGTAAAAAAACCTGGGATAGGTAGGGGGAGGCAAGGGGATTATGGTTGACAACATTTTTCCTCCAAATTATAGCACATAAAAAAAAAATGGCATGTCAAATCCACATGTCAACGACAACCACATGTACTACCTACTACCACCCTCTAATCAACAGCACCCTCCGTCTTCCTTCCTCCACCCTCCTACCCAAAAGCCCCCCATGCTTCTTAACCGCCGCCGCCACTCCCTCATCTCCTCCTACTCCTCCTCCTCCTCCTCCCCATACTCGTCCTCGAGCACGGGCTCATCTCCATACTCATCCTCCTCTAACTGCCCCTCCTCATCGACGTTGTATCCTTTTGGAATGGGAGCATCCGGGATGTTCCCCGCAAGAACCGCCCTAGTCTCCTCGCTGGTTTTGTGCCAGTTGCGCACAACGTTCCAGTTGTGCGCAACAAACACCAAGTCCCGGCACTTCTCGGGCCCGAGACGGTTGCGGCGTGCAGTGTGCACCGATTCCCACACTGCCCACCCGCGCTCGCAGCTGGATGCAGACACCGGCTGCGTGAGCACACGACACGCGAGCTCTGCCAGCTCGAGGTGGTCGGTCCCATGCCAGGTCCACCAGTCCTCCATACTTAGACTCCCCTCCTTCACTTTCTGCCGCTGCATTATTGCGTCGGGTTTGCCGAAGGAACCCCTCAGCTTCAGGAATGCAGTCACTCCCTCCTGCAGTACCACTACCGCACTCTTCTCCTTTGCCTCCTTACGATCGATGGTGATGGTGCTGCTGTATCGGCCAATGAACTCCTTAAACAGGTCGGTGCACTCCTTGTCGGGGCCAAAGATCTTAGCAACCTGGTTGGCCGGGTTGAGGATCCGGCCAACAGCATGCAGTGGGCAAGCCATGCTGACGTCCCACCGATGCTGGATGATCTCCCCAATCCCCTCCTTATCCTCCGGCGTCAGCTGCAAGTCTTCCTTCTTCAACAGATCAGTCACGTCCACAGTGAGTTTGAGCATGAGCTCATAAATCTGCCCCATCATCCCCTTGGCCGAGGAGTCAGTCGACCGCATCACAAGGTAAGGCAGTTTCAACAGCTTGACAAAGAACTCAGCTGCTGCCCACCAAGCCTGGTTAAGCACAATGCTCTGGATGGAATCGGCCGCTGCCTTCTGCTTCCCTACGGCCCACGCCTTCCACGTTTCGCCTGCCACCAACACAGTCAGCTTCCCGTGGAGGTCTACAAGCCTCGACACTGCAATGTACTGGGTTCCGAACCGGGTGCCCGCTGGCTTCAACAGCTGCAGCACCTTGCCCCTCAGCTCCCCTGGCTCGCGCAAGAAGTTCCTCGTCCAGTGGTGATTGCGGACGTAATTTATCACCTCGTTCGCACCCTCAACCACCCTCTTCGCCCACGCCTGCTTTCCCACGTCTTCCATGAGCAGGTCTAGGACATGAGTGGCGCACGGCACATGCTCAATGTGCGGCCACTCCTCCCTCAACACCTTGCAGGCCTTGCCGTAGTTACTCCCCCCATCCGTGCATAGCGCCACCACATTCGCAGGCCCGATTTTCTGGATGATAGGGCGGAGGATGCCGGCAATGTACCCGCCTGTCTTCGTCTCCATGCGGCAGTCAATGCAGTCGGCAAACATGGCGCCGAAGTCATTGACTAACATGACGTTCGCTTACGGCCTCCCGCACCGGTCTGTCATCATGTCTGAAGCCACGGTGACGCCATGCCTCTCCCAATTCTGTTTGAGTGCATCAAGGGCGAGATCGATGCGGGTGCGACACTCCTTCAACCCCGCTCCTCCAATGTACGTGCGTTTGGGCGGCACGTACGTTGTTCCCGCACGAGCGACCGCATGCACGGCATCGACGAAGAGTGGGTGGTCGGCATGACGTTATGGGATGCGGAGGGCTGCAAACATGAGGCACAATGCCGCATCCGCCTCACGCTTAGCACATGCCGCGCCGTTGCTGAAATACGTAGTTATCTTGCCCCGCTTTCCCCCTCCCCCCACGGCCTCCACCGCATCCGCGACCTCCTTACGCTTCTGGGCCTTGACAGACGCCTTCCCTTCGTATAGTGCCTGCATTGCCTCCCTCACCTCCTTTGGCGCCGAGGGACATTCCTTGACCTCCCGCCGCCCCTGTCCTTCCCACTCCGCGAAATGCATAGCGCACCGGTTGGGAATGCCTACAAAAGACAGCCCGCAATAACGACATTCCACCCTAGCTGTGGCGACCCCAGCCTCCTTAACTCTAACTTTGTAATGCTTGTAAACATCATGATTAGACTCTGCCTCGTAAATATTTGACGCTGCAGACGCTGTAGGATTAGCGTCTGCAGCACCATTAGGGGGGGTCGACATGGGCGTGGGCCCTTAACTTAGCGCGAAATTAGGTGGCAAGGGTGAGTGGGCGTGGGAGATGAGAGAATGACGACTAAATCTGATCTACGGCTATGTCGCGCGGAACTCTAGGGTTCCCGTTTCTCATGGGGAAGAGATTGTGATGGAAGAAGGGGAGAAAGTGGTTAGGTTGGAGTGGCCGTAGATGAACAGGGTGCTGTGCGGTTGAGCGGGGCAAAAGAATTGGATGCGTTTTTTGGTCGCTAGGTTGGGATTTGCGACTTGGCGAATGTCTAGTTGAATTCGCCAGGTCGCAATGTCGCGAAAAAAATTTGGTCGATTTTTTCGTCGGGCTGCCCCTAAAATTTTACCCGAGCGTTTAGCGTTTTACCACGCGTTTAGCGTTTAGCGTTTAAACGCAGCGTTTAAACGCTAAACGCTGCCCCGCCAGAGCGTTTGCGGTCACGTAGCTTCTCACATACCTGCCCCGCCTGACACTTCGGCCAGTCCCCCCAAATCAGCGTCGCTGGGACACAATCGGCCAACGATTCTTTCTCTTGCCAACGGACAAGTGGGCCCCCCTTTTTCAGGCCAGCGCAGAGGCAATTCCCGCAAGTACGCCTGCACGACACCAATCCGATCCAGCTGGCATGCGCACCAGAGCTGAGAGTTTGGTTTGGAAAACGAATCTGTCGAAGGCAGTTGCAGCATTACAGCCCTCGCCCAAGTCGCCACCCACTGCAGCGACGCTCGCGAGCCTGCGCCAAAAGCACCCAGCCAGCGAGAACGAGATCCCGGCCCAGCTCAGGACTTCGCCAGCGACTAACCTTGCCATCGACCATGAGGCCTTTCGCCGCATCCTCGCTAAGTGCCCACATGGTGTGGGAGCTGGCCCGTCAGGAACCTGCTTCGAACATCTGAGGGACCTCGCTCTGTCCAGCAGGCCACTGTTCAACCTTCTCCTTCACATCGTCAACTTGACGCTAGGAAGCACGCTGGAGTCAGACGTGCGCCAAGAGCTCTTACCATGCAAGCTCATTGCCCTCGCCAAACCAGGAGGTGGCGTTCGCCCCATCGCAAGAGGGGAAATCTACCTCCGCCTGGTGGCGAAAGCGGTAATCCTCACACTCTCCGCGGAAATCAAGGGCTTCTTCCTACCATTTCAATTTGGCGTGGGCGTCTCGGGGGGCACAGAATGCATCATCCACGCGGTGCGCTTGCTGCTCCAAGCCTTCCCCAGGCATGTGGCCGTCCAGCTGGACGTGGAAAACGCGCTCAACTGCGTTTTCCACACCACCTTCCTTCAGGTCCTGCATTGCAGTGGACTCCAACTAGGCTTGAGCATGAACCCGACCCAACCCGACCCGACCCGACTTTGCCCTACCCGATGTCGGGTTCGGGTTGGGTCGGGTCGGGTCGGGTCAAGTCGGGTCGGAGTTCAGGAAATGTCAACCCGACCCGGGTTTAATAGGTGGGGTACTACCTAACCCGATTTCGGGTCGGGTCGGGTCGGGTTGGCATAGGGGCAGGGACGGGTAATAAGCCGACCCGGCGGGTCGGGTTTTGTCGGTCGGGTTGGGTCGGGTCGGGTCGGGTCAACCCTCCGCAAATGTCGACCCGACCCGTCAAAAAGTCGGGTTCGGGTCGGGTTACCCGACCCGACACGACCCGTTGCTCAAGCCTAACTCCAACCCCTTCTCCCCCTCGCGCTCACCTTGTACGGCGAGGCCACACCGCTCCTGCTTGACGCCGCCTTTGGCACTGATGACATTCTCAGCAGCCGTGAGGTGCCCCGAGGGGACCCACTGGGCCCTTTGCTCTTCGTTGCGACAATCCAACCAGTGCTCACAAGGGTGGCCACACAGAATCCAGACGTGGTGGTAGTAGCTTATGCCGACGACATCACAGTCGGTGGCCCCCCGGCAACAGCAGCAGCAGCGGCCTTCCACCAATTGAACGAGGGGCTGACGGAGTGCGGGCTCCGCTGCAACCTGTCGAAGAGCGCAGGCTGGTCACCGAATCCAGCCAGCATGGCGCAGCTGCCCGAGAGCATACCCCGAGCAGACGATGGGCTGCGAGAATTGGGCAGCCCCATCGGCTCCAGAGCCTTCTGCGCGGCATTCCTTGAGCAAGCACTGCAAGAGGCAGCGGCCCCGCTGCCCCTACTGGAAGCATGCACCCACAGTACGCGCTCCTCCTACTCTCCCGGTGTCTGTCGCGACGCGCGACCTTCCTCCTGCGCTCAACTCCGGCGGACGCTCTCCCGCTTGACACGTGGCGGCGGTGGAGCAAACAGCTGCTCCGCACGGCACTCCGCTCAGCCGCCCTCCAGGAACCCCGTCGGGAATTGGAGTGGAGCTTGACGTGGCGGCAAGCCACCCTCCCCATCACACTCGGGGGACTCGGGCTCATCGACACCACCTCGGAGGCCCCGGCAGTATACTTGAGCATTTTACCAAGTCGGGTCGCGGGTACCCGACCCAACCCAACATTTTGGCGGGGTCAGGTAATAGGATTCAGACGAATTACCCGGCCGGGTCGGATCGGATACTCGGGCTGGGTAATGCATACCCGTTACCCGAGAATTACCCGAAATGTTGGGTAATTTATTACCCATCGGGTCGCAGGTACCCGACCCAACTTCGGGTTTGTTACTCCGGGTTTGCTGAATTTTGCAGCCACCTAGGGGTACTCGGGTAATACTACCCGACTTCAATTAAATGCGGGTTGGGTATACTCGACCCGCCAGACGGGTACCCAATTACCCGGTATTAAAATGCCGGGTCGGGTAACAGATCTACAAACATTACCCGGAAATTACCCGACCCGACCCGACCCGGACCCCATCGCGGGTAGGGCAACACCGGGTCGGGTCGGGTAATTACCCGGTTTTGCTCATGTCTACCCGGCAGCCTACCTGGCCGCCACCCTGGCCGCGACTCAGCTCCTCTCAGGACTCGCACTCCCCGAAGGCCCGTTCCGTCACATCCTGCCCCGGCTGGAGGAGGGAGGGGAGAGAACCTACCATACCACTTGCTGGTGCGGGACATGGAGACACGCCTACCTGACCCTGTGACGCTCACCCTAGGGGAGGCGCGGACGACCCCACCGAAAGGCCCTCTGCAGCAGCAGCTCTCCCACGCGATCAACTCACAGCAGGCAGAGGAGCTGTTCGCCGACACGCTCCTGGACCGCCCGGGAGCGGACAACGGACATGGGACCAGACTCACCAACCTGCGTGGCACCGGCGCGGGAGATTGGCTACTGGCCATTCCCTCCCGCCCGGACCTCTCGTTCTCCAAAGGACAGTTCGGGACGGCCCTGGCTTTCAGACTCAGTCTGCCCCTTCCAGTCCCAAGCGGCTGTACCTGCGGTGATGACGACATCCCCGACCCAAGCCTGCCCAACCACCTACTCAGATGCAGGAAGGGAGGGGACGTCAAGCGCCTGCACGACGCATTGGTCTACGCCGCCCTCCGCATGGCACGGGAGGCCAAGTAAAAGGGCAGACCTACCACGAGACCATTCAGTTTACCACGCAAACAGAAAAAGGGCAGACCTGGCCATCTGGGATACGGAGAGCGGGGCAATGTGGGTCACCGACGCCACTGTGACCGACCCGGTCCTCTAGCGGTGGGACACAGACGCGGGCGGCCAGCCAGGATGGGCGGACAAGGAAGCTGCCCAAGCCAAGAATAGAATCTATGAAGATCGGCCAGACTACGTCGGCTTCTTCGCCCTTGCAGTGGAATCCACTGCCGAGTTCTTCAAGCTCCTGGCAGAGCATTCGGCACTAGTCCGGTTCCGGGCCAACACCCTTGCTACCCCAGCAAAGAAACTAACCTCCCATTATCGGCAGCGCTGATCGGTCCTGCTACAAGCCAGTTCCCTCATCGCTAGGGCAGGTGGGGCGGTGGAAGTGGCCTTTCCCCAGCCGCCCGCCGACCGTTGGGCTCCTTACCTGGCCGACCTCTGCGCCACTTTGGAGGAGGACGATCCCTAGTTGGAGCTGTAGGGGAGGTGGGGATAGGCTGTGGGAGGGGAAGATCAGGTCTGAGGCCCAATGATAGGTTCTGGCTCGTTTCCTATAGGCTTGGGGTCAGTTGCGAGTTTCTGGTGTTGTCTCTTTGCTGCAATTCCTTGCTATCTTTGATCCTCGCTGCCCCTTGTTTAGTGTGTACTCAGGTTTTATTCAATGGCCAGGACCGCTTGAGAGAGAGAGCATGAGTCCCTCTCTAGCTATTTAAGCCCTCTCCCTAGCCCATTCTCCTTGTTTAGTTTTCTGTTCTTCAGATTCTCCTTCCCTTGGTGGCGGCTCGCGCCGGCGGCCTTCAGCCGCGTAGTAGGGGACGGCAAGACAAAAACGTGGCAGCACACGCACAACGCAATACAGGGCACAACTAACAAGCACAAGTTCCCTACGGCGGCGCATCCATTGCGCCTAGCATAGAAGCCCTCCTACTGCTATCGGAGCGCTCGCCCCCGCGCGAGGGCCGCCGCTGAGGCGGAATCCTTGCGGCGGTATGGACGGCGGGTGCCGCTCACACGGGCTCTCCGGGCCCCCCCTCTGCCAGCTGTGCCGCGAGAATGCCATCCATCCAGCACCTGGAGCATTGACACGCAACCTCCAACGAAGTCTACAGCTGACGCCGACGTTATGCTCACCGACAATGCTGTCACTGCGGCGACCAGGGCCGGGTCCAAGCCCCTTCCCAGGCGGGCACTGGCAGCACGCGCCCAACCGCAACTGTCAGATCCCCAACCGTGTCCAAGCTCTTCCGGAGAAGTGAGTGCGGCATCTTACGCTGGCTCCCTGAGCCCAGCAGTGACGAGTGGGCATCGTCCAACACCGCCGTCAGCAGGGACAGCGCCTGCTGCGAATAGCCCATGCGGCGATATGTGACTTCTGGAATCGCCATCTCCTTTTCCACGCGCTCCCTCCCCGGCAGGCCACCGACCTGCAACCTCGCCGGTACCCGAAGCCCGCCCACTCAGCGCCGCCCATGCCCACTCCTGTGGTGGGGAGAGTACTCCTCTGAGGACTCCGTCCCCCCCATCTCCACTGCTTCTGCCCCCGCCTCGACTCCAGTCGGGACAAGACCAGGCGACGCGGAGGCACAAACGGGCGATACGCCCCTGCGCCACTCGCAGCCGGCAGCGGCAAGTGCGTCACAGGACCAGACCACTCGTGGGCTGTGGACGGCAGAGGTGGGGGCTGCCATGAGGGCAGCGACTCCTCCGACAGCTCAGACGCTGCCACAAACAGAGGGGCAAGGGGCGCCGCCTGCACATAGCGCGGACGCGAAGGGGGAGCAGCCAGGGGACCCGCCGGAGCCAGCGTCGGCTGTGGGTGATACGCTGGAGGTTCAGGCCGTGCGATACGCCACGCTTCTTCCCTCGAGGTTCAGGCCGTGCGATACGCCGACCAAGTGGCAGCGTCGCGGGCAATGGATCCAAATCCATACTCTGGCAACACGCAGCGCCTCTTCTCCCTGGCCGGGTATGGGGCAGGGGATTGGATCCATGCCATCCCCATCTTCCCTTCCCTCCGCCTCGAAGCCCCACACTTTGCCATCGCCCTGGCTTTTCGCCTTGGCCTTCCATTCCCAGCCCCCCGCATCTGCAACTGCACCGACGAATTCGAAATCCTCGACACACGGCTGCCCAATCACCTATTTCGGTGTGGCACCGGGCACGGGCGGACAGACACCCACAATGCCCTGCGGGATGAGAGCATCCGGATGGCTCGGGACGCTGACTTCATTGTCACTAAAGAGACAACTATCTACAGCCCAGTGGACGGCCACAAGGCCGACCTCGCAATTCGAGACCGTAGCTCCGACGCCGTCTGGATCTGCGACGTCACCGTCACAGACCCAATCAGCAGCCGAGACCCGGATGCACGAGAGCAGGCCGACAAGAAGATCTACCACTACCGCAACATGTTGGCTTCTTCCCACTGGCGGTCGAGACGTATGGCTGCCCTTGCGCCGAAGTCCCTAACTTGTTGAAACTGCTGGCGGACACAGGGGCCAGAAGGCTCTTCAATGCAGACCCGAGCTCCTACCAAGCGGCGAAGTACCTCTCTCCCTCTCCCTCCCTCGCTGGTAGTCCCTAAGCGGCAAAAAGATCGACGCTGCGGACGACTACCAAGCCGACAAAAAGATCGACGACTACCGCAGCCGGGCGGAGTACGTCGGCTTTTTCCCGCTGGCGGTAGAGACATACGGCTGCCCCTGCGCCGAGGTGCCCACCTTCCTCAAACTCCTGGCACACACGGCCGCCCGCCGCCTTTTCAACGCCGACCCCAGCTCCTACCAAGCCGCAAAACTGCTCAGCCAGTTCCGGCAACGCTGGTCCATCACACTCCAACGGGGACAAGCGCTCTCGTACCTGGGGAAGGTGAACGAGGCCTCTCCCCTTGAGTGGCCCCCCTTGGGCGCCCCGGACGCCTGCATGTCCCTTGGAGACTGTTTTGCAGTGATAGAGCACCAGGGCGAACGAGAGTAGAAGGGGTCCCGATAGGAGACTCACCTGAGCCGACACACCAGTTTGTACCAATCCGGCATGCCTAGTTTGTACCCAGGATTGCCCATCAACGACGGACCGTTCGAGAGAGAGAGAGAGAGCTCGGGAAGGTGAACGACGCCTCGCCGCTCGAATGGCCCCCCCTCGGTGCTCCTGACGCGGGCATGTCCTTCGGGGACTGCTTCGCTGTCATTGAGCACCCGGGGGAGTAGCGATAGAGTAGGAGTCCGGCCAGTTTCTCATACATGCTTGTACTCACCGTATATGCCTCGCTTGTACCAAGGATCTCCCAGCAATGAAGGACCGTTTGAGAGAGAGAGAGAGAGAGAGAGAGAGAGAGAGAGAGAGAGAGAGAGAGAGAGAGAGAGAGAGAGAGAGAGACCCCCGCCTACCAAACCACCTCCTCCGTTGTGGGACGGGACACGGTCGCACCGACACCCACAACGCCCTCCGAGATGAGTGCGTGCGCATGGGGCGAGACGCACAGCTTATAGTCACGAAAGAAACGGCGATCTACAACCCTGTCGACGGCAAGACCGCCGACCTGGCCATACGTGACCGGGACTCGGGGGCGGTCTGGATCTGTGACGTCACCGTCACCGACCCAGTCAGCTCTCGGGACCCGCTAGCGCGCAAAGGCCGCGGCTACATGGCCCGGGAGCAAGCGGACAAGAAGATCGACGAATACCGCCACTGGGCAGCATACGTCGGTTTCTTCCCACTCGCCGTCGAGACGTATGGCTGCCCATGCGCCGAAGTGCCAACCTTCCTCAAACTTCTAGCACACACGGCCGCCCGCCGCCTTTTCAACGCCGACCCCAGCTCCTACCAGGCGGCTAAACTGCTTAGCCAGTTTCGCCAGCGCTGGTCTGTCACCCTCCAGCGGGGACAAGCCCTCACCTATCTTGGAAAGGTGAACGAAGCCTCGCCACTCGAATGGCCTCCCCTCGGCGCTCCTGACGCGGGCATGTCCCTCGGGGACTGCTTCGCGGTCATCGAGCACCCTAGGGAATAGTGGTAGACCAAGAGCTCGGCCAGAATATCATACATGTTTGTACTCACATTATATGCCTCGCTTGTACCCAGGGTATCCCAGCAATGAAGGACCGTTCGAGAGAGAGAGAGAGAGAGAGAGAGAGAGAGAGAGAGAGAGAGAGAGAGAGAGAGAGAGAGAGAGGGAGAAGCCAACATAGGTCTCCAACGCCAGGCTGCACAGCGTATTTCGAGGGTATTTCACGCGTATTTGTTTAGTATCACGCATATGCGCGATACCCCTCGACCCCTAGGAGAGTATGTGCGGCAGTGCGGCACGTCGTGTGGCAAGAACCTCAAGGTACCTGTAAGCGCGGAATGGTACCTGTAGGAAGATGACCCACTTGCTCGCTCCATCGCCTCTCCCTGCCTGGAAGTTGAATGCGGGCGGTGAGCCGTCCAGACACACTGTGGCTCGTACATTGGGAGGGGAGACACGAGAGCTTTCCATCTTGAAGGTAATGAGACAAGGGAAAGAGCACAAGGAAGCTTACAGGTAACTGGCCCATTGCCAGCGCCCATTGCCAGCGCCCATTGCCAGCGCCCATTGCCAGCGCCCATTGCCAGCTCTCGCCCTTCCCCTGGTGGCACACATTAACCAAGGCCTCAAATCCCCTCCCCATATCACCAAACTCTGCCGAAACTACCGAAAGGTTCACCTCAAACAAATACTGGATGCGTGAATCTGTCCATAGTGGGTACACGTACCTCCCTACTATGTATATACTATGCGGACGTCCATACGCCTCTCCATTCCCACTCATACCCGCGAAGCCGCCGAGTGTGTCGTTGACGATCGTCACAGGGATCTTCGGCCCCGTTATAGCCGCACCCGTGAAAGGAAGCCATTTGGAGAAAGGAAAGCTGCTGGCGAGGTCGGCGCGGCGGGTGGAGGAGAAGAGCACCCCGACGAACAGGAACGCGACGGCCAGCGCGATCTGACGGGTGAACGGCCGGACTCGCGATGCGGCAGACTGAAACGCGGGGAATACTGCATTGCGGAACATAGTTGAACTCTTCCGACGAGCTCGAACAAGTCGACTCCTACAGGCGTTTATGCGGCTTGACTAATCGATGGAACAAGTGACCTTGAAGGAAAACAAGGTCGCACCGACACCATTGAACTAATGAAAGTATGAGTATACTACCCTTAAAGCCCGAGTTCAGAATGGTTTGCCTTCAAGTTCAGGAACTTGTTTTCGTGGAAAAAAGGGTAACCCGGTTTAGCGCATGCAAATCTCGTGACCCTCAGGGCCTGTGAACAGAGGTTGTTGACGATTGGGCTGTTCCGCTGAAGGCAAAAAGCTTGCGAGCGCCGCAGCAAAAGACAACACTGGAGAACACTGTTCCCACTCAGGATTCTTGAACACAAACTGGACCAAACTGAACGCAATTCCAAGGAGCTTGCACGCGTATAACTCCCTCATAGGTCTCTGCGCCGCCACATACTCGCGATCTTCCCCGTCTCCAGCTGACGCCTAAACACCACACCCGTCAAGCACGGGGTACACCCGCCACTCTGTAGCATTATCGAGTTGAGCGCGAGCGTGACACGCAGCCCCGCAATAGCCCGTCGTCTGCTCCGCGATGTCGAGGAACCTTGGCCGATCTGCCATCGGCCCACTGCTGCAGAGAGGAGACTTGGCCAGAGGCATGTATGCGACAGGCCCCACTAGCCTAGCCTGCCCCTTCCTTGCCCGCTATCCCAGCAGCACCCGCTATTCCCCGAGCCCCCACCCCCCCCGCCCTCGAGTCCCTCGCCCGCTATTCCCTAGCCCGCACCTCCCTCGCCCGCAATTCCCCCGCGCGCTATTCCCTACCCCGAGCTTCCTTTGCCCGCATTTTTCCCGCCCGCTATTCCCTGCCCCGCGCATCCCTTGGCGGCAATTTTCTCGCCCCCTAGTCCCACCCCGCGCTTCCCTTGACCGCAATACCATCGCCCGCTATTCCCTACCCCTCGCTTTCCTTGCCCACAATTTTCTCCCCCGCTATTCCCTCCCCCGCGCTTCCCGCAGTTCCCCCGCCCGCTATTCCGCTGAAGTGGATGGCGGATAGGCGGTGGGAGAGAGAATACGCAGGGGGGTCGGAGGGGAATAAGATATGTGGAAGAAGGGGAGAGGGGCGGTGAGTGAGAGTGCGGGGGCAAGAGGAGGGAGGGGGAGAATGAGTGGCACAGTGGTGGTGGAGCCCCCGATTTAGGAGGGACAGAAGGGGGAGCAGAAGGATGAAAAAGTGGGGAGGGGAGCGGATGGCCTGTGTGAAGAGAGAGACGGACAATAGAGGGGCGGACGATGGGGAGAGGAAGGACCACGGCCCGAGGGGAAGAGGAGAGGGGCGAGGGAGCGAGTGAGGAAAGGGGGGGGGAGGAGGGGAATGTGCGTGAGGGCAGGGGATAGCGAAAGGGAGATGATGGTGAGGAGGGGGAATGGGGTTAGAGAGCCTTGATGAAAGAGGGGGAAAGCGTAGGGGATAGCATAAGGGGTGCACAGAAAGGGCAGACAGGTGGATTGAACAGCGGTAAGGGCCGCTGACAGAGTGCAGGGGAGTGAGACAGGGATCTTTCAGGGTATGTAGAAGCGTGGGGGACAAAGCAGGGAATCGGCCACCCTGGACAAAGGACTCCTCCCTCTCGCTCCGCGCATGGCAAGGCGTCGGGCAAGCCCCACACTAAGCGACATTGGGTGCACTCCCCCAAGCCAAAGCGCATCAGGTATGCCCCACGCTTGGCACATATTCTCAAACCAACGCACTCTGTGCCGTTTCCCCTGTCCTCCACTTTCCCCCCTTCCTTCTTCTCCACTGTTCCTCCTCCCCTCTCTCCTCTCCTCTCCTCTGGTCCCCTCTCCTCTCTTCTCGTCTCGTCTCCTCTCCTCACCTCTCCTCTCCGCTCCTCTCCTCTGCTCTCTCCTCCTCTCCACGGCTCTGGGTTTAGGGTCCCCTCCGCTTTCCTCTCATCTCCTCCCGTCTGCACTCCTCTCCTCTATTCTCCACTGCTCTCCTCGGTTCTCCTCTCCTCTCCTCTCCTCTCCTCTCCTCTCCTCTGCTCTCCTCTGTTCTCCTCTCCTCTCTCACCTCTCTTCTACTCTCCTTTGTTGTTGTCTCCTCTCCTCTCCTCTATTCTCCTCTCCTCTCCTGTGTTCACCCCTCCTCCGTTCTCCACTGCTCTCCTCTTCTCTCATCTTTTCGTGTCTCCTCTCCACTCCTCTCCTCTCCACTCCTCTCCTCTCCTCTCCACTCCTCTCCTCTCCTCTCCTCTTCTCAGTTCCCTGTTCTCCTCTACTCTCCACTGCTGTCCTCTCCTCTCCTCTCATCTCATCTCCTCTCCTCTGCTCTCTTCTGTTCTCCTCTCCTCTCCTCTCCTCTCCTCTCCTCTCCTCGGCTCTCTCCTCCTCTCCACCGCTCTGGGTTTAGGGTCCCCTCCGCTCTCCTCTCATCTCCTCCCGTCTGCACTCCTCTCCTCTATTCTCCTCTGCTCTCCTCGGTTCTCCTCTCCTCTCCTCTCCTCTGCTCTCCTCTGTTCTCCTCTCCTCTCTCACCTCTCTTCTACTCTCCTTTGTTGTTGTCTCCTCTCCGCTCCTCTATTCTCCTCTCCTCTCCTGTGTTCACCCCTCCTCCGTTCTCCACTGCTCTCCTCTTCTCTCCTCTTTTCGTTTCTCCTCTCCTCTCCACTCCTCTCCTCTCCTCTCCTCTCCTCTCCTCTCCTCTCCTCTGTTCTCTATTCTCCTCTGCTCTCCACTGCTGTCCTCTCCTCTCCTCTCATCTCCTCTCCTCGCCTCTGTTCTCTTCTGTTCTCCTCTCCTCTCCTCTCCTCTCCTCTCCTCTGCTCTCTCCTCCTCTCCACGGCTCTGGGTTTAGGGTCCCCTCCGCTCTCCTCTCATCTCCTCCCGTCTGCACTCCTCTCCTCTATTCTCCTCAGCTCCCCTCGGTTCTCCTCTCCTCTCCTCTCCTCTCCTCTCCTCTGCTCTCCTCTCCTCTCCTCTCCTCTGCTCTCCTCTGTTTTCCTCTCCTCTCTCACCTCTCTTCTCCTCTCCTTTGCTGTTGTCTCCTCTCCTCTCCTCTTGTCTCCTCTCCTCTCCTCTTGTCTCCTCTCCTCTCTTCCCGTCTCGTCTCCTCTCGTCACCTCTCCTCTCCTCTCCTCTCCTCTGCTCTTTCCTCCTCTCCACGGCTCTGGGTTTAGGGTCCCCTCCGCTCTCCTCTCATCTCCTCCCGTCTGCACTCCTCTCCTCTATTCTCCTCTATTCTCCTCTCCTCTCCTCTCCTCTCCTCTCCTCTCCTCTCCTCTCCTCTCCTCTCCTCTCCTCTGCTCTCCTCTGTTCTCCTCTCCTCTCTCACCTCTCTTCTCCTCTCCTTTGCTGTTGTCTCCTCTCCTCTCCTCTATTCTCCTCTGCTCTTCTGTGTTCACCCCTCCTCCGTTCTCCACTGCTCTCCTCTTCTCTCCTCTTTTCGTTTCTCCTCTCCTCTCCACTCCTCTCCTCTCCTCTCCTCTCCTTCGCTGTCTTTTCTTCTCCTATCCTCTCCTCCCCTCTCCTCTCCTCTCCTCTCCTCTCCTCTCCTCTGATCTCCCCTGTTCTCATCTGCTCTCCTCTCCTCTCCACTGCTCTCCTCTTCTCCCTTGTCCTTGTATCTCCATTCCACTCCACTCGTCTCCTCTCCTCTCCTCCCCTCTTCTTTGCTGTCGTCTCCTCGCCTCTGCTCTCCACTGCTCTCCTCTCCTCTCCTCTGTTCTCTGTTCTCCTCTGCTCTCCACTGCTCTCCTCTCCTCTCCTCTGTTCTCTGTTCTCCTCTGCTCTCCACTGCTGTCCTCTCCTCTCCTCTCCTCTCCTCTCCTCTCCTCTCCTCTGTTCTCCTCTGTTCTCCTCTCCTCTCCTCTCCTTTCCTCTCCTCTCCTCTGTTCTCCTCTGCTCTCCTCTGTTTTTCTCCCCTCTCCTCTGCTCTCCTCTTCTCTCCTCTCCTCTCCACTCCTCTCCTCTCATCTCCTCTCGTCTCCTGTCCTCTGCTCTCCACTCCTCTCCCCTCCTCTCCTTTCCTCTCCTCTTATCTCCTGTACTCTCCACTCCCCTGCTCTCCTCTCCGCTCGTATGCTCTCCTCTACCCTTCTCTCCTCTCCACCCCTCTCCTCTCCTCTGCTCTCTCGTCCCCTCTGTCCTCCTCTTCTCTCCACTCCCCTCTTTGTCTCTCCACTCCCCTTCCCACTGCGCTCCCTCTCTCACTGAGACACCTTCTTGTCATCCCCCCTCTCCCATAAGGAGATGGCGGAACCCTCGCACCTGTCAGCCCTGGAGGAGCGGTGGGTGGGGCGTGGCAACACAAGCGAGGTGCGGGAGGCAGGGCTCTCAGGTCTCGGCCCTATGGTCTGTTCCCTCACTGTACCCCTGCCCTTCCCGCGCCCGCCCCTATGTCTTACCCACCCCCCCCCCCCCCCCTCTTTCCCCCCCAATCTATTGACTTCCATGCCTGTCCAACCCAACCCTATACCCCCTCTCCATTTCATCATGTCAAAGGCGATGCCCTGTTGTTTGTCCAAGAAATCCCGTGTAGTTTGCCACGAATCTAAGTAATTCCCCCCTTCCCCCGTTACCCTCCCCCTAACCCCTGGGTAAAACAGCCTCGCAGCTCGGCCTGTCGAAGGAGATGTTCCGCTCTTCTTCCAAGACCATGACCCTGAGTCTGCCTGGCATAAGCGCTCGGTTCTGCAAGGGCCTCCAAAGGGATGGCAGTGCACAAAATAGTGATACAGGGGTACTCTGCTCAGAGGGATATGATAGGGTTTTTGCATGAGCACCTGTACTCCGCAACAAGGGTTGCGGTAGGGGAGTCTGGCGTAGAGGGATCATAAGATCGGGAAGAGGATATGGGAAGAGTAGACCGAGACCAAGGCGAGGGAGACATAAGAGCAGGCCAATTAGAGTGGACATTGTGTGCGTTTGGCGTAGGGTGGGGGGTAGAATACTCTGTGACCTACCCGCCATTATGTTGCATCGGTTTATCCATTCTTGGTGCGCCTAGCTCACACATTAAATTCTCTCGCTGATCCAACCCAAAACATGTTGCATTCAGGCTTATCCTTATTCAGCCATGCATATACATGGCTGGAAGTGGCGAACAAGAGACACATGTTGGTGCAACATCCAGTTGGACGGGATGTGTCATGTACGTATTGGACGCAGGGGTGGTGTCAACGTGCACTGTATGCCTTGCAAGTAAACATACGCTAGGTTCATCTAAAACCACTGGGACTAGGCATGTAGAACCAGCATGCCAAAAAACGTGTATGCAGCAGAGTCGGTGGTCTGAGAGGAACCATGGCTTGGAGCCAACATGCGTGACTTTGGCCTGTCAGACAGAGGGAGGGGGGCTGCCAAAGTGATTGGAAGGGGGGGTGGTGGGGCACAAGGGGAAACTTATGAAGCAGCATGGAAAAGGAAGTGAACGAAGGGTCATGATGTGACTGGAGGCACTCCTGTGCAAAGAGAGGGGGTAACCCCCATCAGAGGGGGGCCAAGGGGAGTGGTAATGGTGCTTGCCAGTGTGGGGGGAAAACCTGGGGGCAAGAGCAGAGGGGTCAGCCTAAGGTATGCAGCCAAGGAAGTAAGTCGGATGAAGGGGGAGGGGAAACAGATGGGGAAACTGTCGATTGTGAACCCTAGGTCATGCAGTTTGGGAAGATTAGGGAGGGGAGGTACGGAGGGGCAAGGGGAGTGGTAATGGTGCTGGGAGGAAATCAGGACAAGTACAATTGAACAGCCCACGATAAGGCAAGGTGGGAGGGGGAGTGGGGAGGACGTGAGAAGATGAGGTAGGGTGTGAGAGTGTGCTGCGAGGTCACCTAAAGAGTAGGCAGGGTTGCTGCTGGTTTAGCGCCGGCGAGGCGTGGGGGCCGAAAGGGAAGTTTGGGGGGTTTCCCGCTGCATGGCACAGGCCGTGCCCGTTTAGCAAGGGAGATTGGTGGAGTCGGCTGCGAAACAGATGGAGGGAAAATGTGAGGGCGGAGGGGAAGGGGGAAAGCCAAAGACCATACAAGCACAAATGCATATGGCATGAAAACACCACGAAATAGCTGACAACGTGGGACACCCACCCAGGCGACGGCGGCTGGACAACGAGCGAGGTGAGGCAGCGTGGCGACCCCGCCTACTGCGGAGCACTGGTGTAGATGGCGCCGCATTTGGAGCTGCTGGCCTTGTCGTGGCAGTGCGTGGAGGCGTCGAAGCGCGTGGGCGAACTGCCGGGGGCGCACTGCTGGGTGGATCCTCCTCGATCCCACCCTCTTCCTCACCATTCATGAATCTTTGCCACTCGTCCATGATCCGATCCACCCAATCCCAATCCATCGCACTTAACCTCCGATCCGCGCTACCACGCCTGATACGAGTGACCTCTCGGACACGAGTGCGATAAGCAGTCACCAGTCTGTCCATGGAGTGGTTCCAATGGAGGACAGCTAGACCGACCCGTGCCTCAAAGCTTCCTTGGAACCGAATGCGCTTAGGGGCGTACTTGAGGATGAGGGAATGAAATGACTCATTAATGGAGCTGCACGCTCCATGGACGTAGGACTTGACCTTGTCCGCCCCACACCGTTTCCGGAACCACGCCTGGACCGCCTTGTGTGTTGCAGATTCCGGCTCGTATATGGCTTGAGCTTGCCCCCAGTTCTCTTTTACACAGCGAGGCGGAGTCTGACCCGCCCTCGCACACCCTGAATGGTCCCCTGCCCAATGGTTTGCTGCCGTTCCCAACTCCTCTGCCACCTCCTCAGGTGTCATCGGGTTCCCAGCCGCCTTCCTAGTGCCACATCGCATCATCACGTGAAAGAAATGGACGGCGAATCGCTGAGCCACCGTTATCTCTTCCTCGCTTGCATGTGTAGCTCCCCCGTTCCTTTGCCGTTTCCGTCGCCCCATCCACCGTGGCAGCGCATTAGAGGGGTTGGCCGCACCATCAACACCCGTAGAATCATCCTCATCCAAAATACGAGCAATACTCTCTTCCGTTGCCCTTCCCGCTGGCACACGCTCACCAGCCGTACCTCACATGGGGAAACAATAAGTGTTAGAAACAGTACTAGATAGAAACAAAGCACACAACCGGGTGCCAACAATGGGTCGTCAATAGTGTCATGCTCACCAGAAACCCCATCGTCGTGAGACCATGATGTAGTCCCACCAATGAACTAGGAATGACCGCCCGTCCCGGAATGCGCATGCACTATGAGCGAGGACGGCACAGAGGAGGGCCTGCTGCCATGGACCGGATGCACATCGTAACCCCATAGCTCGTCCACGTCCGCCCACTCCACCTCAACCGCCACGCCATCTGACGGTGTATCAACAACCACACCCCCCTCCACGGGCGGACGCTCAGCGTCTGTAGCCGTCCGTCCCAAAGTGGCGCCCGGTACCTCGCCATAGGCCACAGGTACATCCACAAACGTCCCCACGCCCCCCACGCGCAACACTTTCCTCAACTCGGGGTGCTTCCACTTGGCCTCTTCTTGCGCCATCTTGACGTACTCAATGGAGTCAGAAGCATCACACACTGCATGCACCAGTGCCTCCTTGAGTGACTGCTTCGACTCTCGTTCCCTCTCATTATCTTTCAACCACTGCTTGAGCCCCTCCACGGTCGCAAGCCATAGATCTTGGACACATGTTGCATTGTTCACCGGGACCACGGCCCGCACAAGGTCCTGTAATTCCTTGCAGAACAAGTTGTAGAGTGTACGTTTTACATGCCACCAATCCACTTGATGATTCAGGTTGCGGTCAGTAGCCGCGCCCCTGAAAGTTGTGCCCTGATCCGAAATAATACCTTCGACCAAAAACCCCTTCGCAGCCAGCTCATCGACACCTAGGTCGAATGCTTTCCTCTCCAACCTAACTTAAGAGTCATCGTGCACCCTTTTCCTCGTTGTACAACAGTAGAGGATCTTGCGCGATGGTATGTCCATGAATGATACTGTGCACCACTCTCCCTCTCGCACATGAGACCACCGGCCATCAGCTGTAACCCATTCTCCCGGTTTCTCGCGTGCGCTCATCTCACCGCGTACTGACTCCATCGACCTATCCGCCTCTCGAAGTATCGCGTTCCACAACCCATTATCAGCCCCTAGATACTCGTAGAAAGTGGCCTTCGCAGGTGTGGGAATCCCGAAGTTGCGACTAAACTCCGACATCTGCTGATATCCCATACCGGCTAGGGTGAACGCCCCCACATACTTGGACTGCAGTATGGGCATCCGCAGGCCCCCAGTTGCGCGTGCCTTATCAATGGTCCTACTGGTGCACGACCAGAACTCAACCCCATGCGAGCAGTCCTCACATCGCCAAAACATTCCCACCGAAGCCCAGGAGAACTTCCATGACTTCAACTCCATCTCGCCCCTGCAAACCCCTCTGTGAGAGCATACCAAACGACATCCCTTGAAAAACCCAACTAGTGTACGTGGCTCCACCAAACATACCAGTTTTACAGCAATGGCATCCATAGTTGGGAACTTGGGCCAATACCGAGGGACCTTATCCCTCGCACTCGATGATGGTATGCAACTCGCCCACCTAGTGGAGGGTGGTGGGGGGGGGACAAGAGATAGGAGATTGCACTGATGTTGACAACGAGGTGCGGAGTGTCCGCCGGGATGGGGGAAGCAATGGTAAGACGTGCTCAATTGTTTCCAATTTCTAAAAGTGAATAGTTCACTGTGGCCAATACGGGGGGGCAAACCGAGACCGTTCTGGAGAAGGGGTAAACTTGTCATGCGCTCATCACGTTGCCTACCTTGCGGCCGACTGAGCTGCACCGCCAAAGGGAGGTGGTCCCAAGTGGTTATGCAGAGCGTCTGCACCTAAGACCTCCCCACCACGAAGAGGGACAGAGACTCCACAGTGCGTCTGCGGTACTGGTACAGCACCCGCACATCCATGGTGCGTGCCCCCCAAGGCACCACCTACAAAGCATGTGCCATTCGCTACTGCACACCTATTTGTGGGGGGGTGGTATATTTGCCGGAGGGAGAATATTGGTATTTTGGTACCACAACACCAATGTGGCAATGTGGGAGAGAACTTGATATTATGGTTAGCCGTGCACGTGCCATGAGATTGCATAGCGCGGAGATGCTATCGGAGACCCTAAACATGTGGCACGGGCAGGGCGGGGTTCGCCCTACATCGACGTGGTGAGGGGGGGAGCGAGGACACCACCAACCATACAATATACCTCATGGGGGACAATGCGGTGACACCCATAGGAGTGAGGATGGGCGTCTGGCTTCGTGCAGTGCCCACACCTGGGATCCCCACACTTGGGGGGTATGAGGACATTCCAGCATCCGCGTTAGCATGGCACGCTCCCTCAGTGGCACCATCTACCAGGCTGTCACACTCCACAGCAGCCATATCTCCTTGTCCAGGCTCACTTTCGCACCCCTCGCCGGCTGTGTTGTTCGTCCCGTCCTCCGTTGCCATTGATCCTGCAGCGGCCGAAGGGTGAAATTGTATGGAGGGAGTGGGGAGTGTGCTGCGCAATACCTCAAACCCATTCCGTTTTGGACTTTGATTGGTCAAACCACTAACCTTGCTGTTGCATCTGCTCGAACGCGATGCCATGCCTAACTCCTCCCCATGCTGGTCCGACCTTTGGCCTCGGTCGTCCGTGAGCATCCAATTCACAGATTGGGAAGTTGTTCCGCAAACCCGCCAGCGCCCGATTCTCTCGCTATAGTAGGTCAGCGACTCTCTCATAACCTCCCGCCACACGCTTCTTGAAGGTGCGGCCGTACGCCTTGCGGTGCATATCGACCATCTTAGCCGCTTGTGAGCCAGCAGATTCGGGATCTTGGGGGGTGGAGGGGGGGGGATTGGGGGGGGTTCGAGTGGGGGGGGAGGGGGATGGGAAAGGGGGGGGGGGGGGGGGAGGGGGAGATGGCGGAAGGGGTTGGGGCGGACATATGCCACTGATCTTGCCATGAGGACCCCCACAGGCACATTTTTGCACGTTTGCTTATCACACGAGTATAGCAGACCCTGACTTGACTCACCCGCGCTCATGGCCGCTTCGATTAGTCGTTTAGTGGCATTCGGAGCGGCTTCCGCCAGAAAGTAGAGGACATCGTCTGGGGTCGCCAGCATCTCTGTGCTCGACAGCACAGAGACACCGACGCGCAAAGCACATAGTAGTGGCCGCATGTTCACCGAGATGTTCACGGATCCTTTCTCGACATCCTTGAGGGCTTGAACAGCAGGGTGCTCTCCAGGGCCTGGTTGGCCTGTGTCTGCGGCCTTCAGGATGGGTAGACATATGGTAGAGGGGAATTGTGTTAGTTACATGCCCGAACATGAAACAATAACATGGTTTAGGCGACTCGATAGTGCGCTACAGTGATCGATGTGGGGATAGAGGGAGGTAGTTTGGACATGTAGGAGTAAAGCGTTGGGCTGAGTGAAACGGGGAGAGCTGCTGGGAGTATCGCACACGATGGGGAATTCGGTGGGGAATCAGGTGGGGGTAGGCGGAGGGGGAACGAAGCGGGGCATTGATGACGGCGAATTCAGAGACGCCGTAAGGGGGGGGTAGTAGGTGGTAGTCAGCTGATGGGGTCCGCGGGTGAGGAGTCAAGGTTTTGGGGGGGAGGGGGGGGGGTGGTCGCGGAACGAAAGAGTGCAAAGGGTGGAGTTTGGTAGAGAAAGGGAGTGTAATCTAGCTAACGGCTTGCTTCTAGCCGATTTATGTGGCGAAGAAAGGTAGGGCAGGGAGGAGGGGAGAAGAAGGGGGATACATTTGTGGAGGCTGTGGGGCCTATGAAGGGCGTGGAGAGGGTGACGAGGGGCGAGCAAGAGGCCCTGTGAGGCGAAAGAATGGCCATCATACAGGGGTGTAACATGGTATAGTGGCAATGGGCTGGTGCGCAGCGCACACTTTGGGAGGATTAGCGGTTCACCAGAGATCGTTTGGGGGGGGGCGGGTGGGGGAAGAACAGGGGGGGAGGGGAGGGAGGGGAGTGTTTGATTGGGGTGCATAGCGGGGGATAGGAAGTGCCATAGCTGCCAGGGCCGTTTCCCTTGCAAGCAGAACGGGGTATGGTGCTGGATTTGTGGGTGGGGGGAAGTGAGGTGTTTGCATCTAGCGGGGGGGTTCCCGCCTCTCAGGCACGAGTCCTGTGGGGGGTTAGAGCATGGCTAACGTGGAGGTTTCAGCCGCTAGGCTGAATCTGTCCTCTCTAAATTGTTTACCCTTCGAAACATACAGGGTGACTGATGAACGCAACATGCAGGGGTGCGCTGGTTGGGGGGGTCTGGGGGCGTGTCTCCCATGTGGGTAATGGTGCAACCCTAAGCCGTGCCCCCCACTTCACCTCCTCCCATTTCGTTTCCAGCCCCCTTGTGCCGGTTTCCCTCTTGACATGCCTCTAGTGCGAGGTGGGGTTCACTGCTTTGCTCCCTCCCCCCTCCACCCCCAGTCCGCGTGCATCTCTGCCGCCAACGATCTGGTCGTAGTTGTACATTTCTCATTGTGGCTATTACCATGGTCTCACCTTTTGACTTCCTTGCCCTTGGCAAAGAGCTCACCTGCGTCGAGGGGCAGAGCCCGCTGGCGTGTGATTTCCCCTCATCACAGGTATCGAGTGCACAGCAGGACGGAGCCCGTACCGCGTTCCTGCGCAACTGTCGCACCCTCTGCTAAATCCTCAGGAAGACGCCAAAATGGCGCATGTGAAGATAAGAGAACAGGGGAAGCAGCACAGGGACGGTGCAAAGGAGTGTAACGCGGGTGGGTGCAGGGCGATGGTGAGTCAACCTTGGGCCCTCGATTGATCCTCTACATTTATAACGTGAAACAGTCCTGAGAGTGGGGGAGATGGGCAGCAAGCTGAGAGGGGGAGAAGGGTGGCAGGAGCCTAATAGGGGGAGAAGAGAAAAAGGGAGTGGGAATATAGGGAAAGGGGCAAAGAGGGGCGGTTGGAGATAACAGGGTAGGAAGGTGAAAGTAGGGAGGGACAGGGAAAAGGTGGGTTGATTAGTGGGAATCTGCGGGGAAAGGAGAAAACACAGTAAGATTCTATAGGAACGCAGGGGGTGATGGGGCAATCAGGGGTTGACAGGGAAAAGGCGGGTTGATTGGAGGGAAACAGGGGAGAACGGAGAACACAGGGGAAGATTTGATGGGAGGGCGAGTGGTGATGGGGAAAATAGCGGGTGATGGGGTAAAGAGGGGTTGACGGGGAGAAAGCGGCGTGGTTGGCGGGAAGCAGGGGGAACAAGAGAAAACGGAGTAAGATTCTATGGGAAAACAGGGGTTGATGGAGAAAAGGCGGGTTGATTGGAGGGAAACAGGGGAGAATGGAGAACTCAGGGTAAGATTTGATGCTAAAGCAGGGGGTGCTGGGGCAAACTGGGGGTGATGGGGTATAGAGGGGTTGACGCGAGAAAGGGCAGGTTGATTGTGGGAAACATGGGGGAAAGTGGAAAGCAGGGGAATATTTGATGGGAGAGCAGGGGGAGATGGGGAAAACTGGGGGTGATGGGAAAAACTGGGGGTGATGGGGAAAACTGGGGGAGATGGGGAAAACTGGGGGAGATGGGGAAAACTGGGGGAGATGGGGAAAACTGGGGGAGATGGGGAAAACTGGGGGAGATGGGGAAAACTGGGGGAGATGGGGAAAACTGGGGGAGATGGGGAAAACTGGGGGTGATGGGGAAAACGGGGGGTGATGGGGAAAACTGGGGGTGATGGGGAAAACTGGGGGTGATGGGGAAAAGGCGGGTTGATAGGAGGGAAACAGGGGAGAACGGGGAATACAGGAGAAGATTTGATGGGGAAAATAGGGGGTGCTGCGGTATAGATGGGTTGATGGGGGAAGGGCGGGTTGATTGGCGGGAAACAGGGGAGAATGAAGAAAATAGGGGAATATTTGATGGGAGAGCGGAGGGTGATGGGGAAAGGAGGGGGTGATGGGGTAAGGAGGGGTTGACGGGGAAAAGGCGGGTTGATTGGAGGGAAACATGGGGGAAAGGAGAAAACAGAGCACGATGCGATGGGAAAGCAGGGAGTGTTGGGGAATGCTGGGGGTGATGCGGCAAACAGAGGTTGACGGGGGAAAGAGGGTGATTGATGGGAAACAGGGGGGAAACGAGAAAACAGGGGTACATTTTATGGGAAAGCTCAGGTTGAAAGGGGAGATTGGTAACACAAAACAGGAGTGGAAGGAGAAGGCAGAATCCCGCGCCTGGTTTGTCAACCCCGCCTCTCCCCTCAAACCCTAATATGGCGGCAAACGCACCCGTCAGCTCGGGTCCATAAGCAATGCCACCATTCTAGGCCGCCACGGCAGCTGGAAAGGTCACCATAATGTGTGGGGTGTCTCGCGTCTGTCGCGCAACCAAATAGGACAAGCAAAGCCATACTGGCTAGCACGGGCGCACTTCTCTCGCAGGGTATCCTAAACCCCGCATGCAGCCGCAGAATCCCGTGCCTAGTCACAGAAGTCCGCGCCGTGTCACACCACCCCGCGCCTTGTCATTGCATTTTGGTTTCAGGGTCACAGAATCCCGCGCCTAGTCACGGAATCGCGCACCTATTCACGGAATCCCGCGCCTAGTCACGGAATCCCGCGCCTAGTCACAAACTTCCGCGCCTAGTCACAGAATCCCACGCCTAGTCACAGAATCCCGTGCCTGGTCACAGAATCCCGCGCCGCGTCGTGGAACCCCGCGCGTTGTCACTGCAGTCTGCGCCTAGTCACAGAATCCCGCGCCTAGTCACAGCATAATCACGCCTAGTCACAGAATCCCGCGCCTAGTCACAAAATCCTAGGAATCCTTGTCACATTGAATGTGCGCCTAGGCTCCCGTGCTCCTTGCCCCGTGTCTACCTGACGCGACGTTGTGTGTGGCGTCAGCGTTTCCGTCCCCCGCGTTCTGAGTTTGTCTCGCTCCGGTTTCAGCCCGCCGACTCTGCCTTAGACGTTTCTGGTTCGAGGCGCGGACCTATCGCTGGATAGGTTCACGCTCAGCGTCTGCACCCGGCCTGTACTATCCATGTCAGCGCCTTCGTCGCGCTTGTTATTGCACTGTTCGGATTCCGCTTCGCAATGCAAGAGTGCTGCTTGTTCCCTTGCACTAACAGAGGTTGGCGTAGGCCTGTGACGTTGGTGCCGAGTGGAATAGTGTCAACCTCCTCATTTGCCATCACCTGGAACAGTTGTGTATTTCCCGTTTTGCTCCCTGCAGGACGTGCTGGTCCCCTCTCGCCCTAACGTGCGGCATTCCATCTGTTTCGCGTGCTTCCTTTTTTTTCGCCTCACGCCCATTCCCGAAATCCGTTTCGCAAAGTTTAGCGTGCACTGATTTCATGGTCAGGATTCTTGTTTTCAAACTATTCTGAACTAGGGCTTTAAGTCCCGCCAATAATCAAGAGATTGAGGGCGGGTCCAAATGGTTCAATTGGGGGTTTTGTACACGTTTTTACGAACTCGGATACAAAATTTGAAAACGATCCCGAAATCGTTTTCCCCCAAAACCGGGTACAAAATTTGAAAACGAAAATAGAGACTGGCGCCAACTGGGTGCGGCGCAAAATTCGGTTCGCCTCAGACGCCCCAAATCGCAGTTACCAAAAACTGAAGTTGCGAGACAGATCTTTCGTGCTCGGCTGGTTGGTATTTGCGATTAGGCGTTGCGCCACACGAAGTTGTCGTTGATTCGCATTGTTCTCGTCAAGCCCGCCTTGGCGAAACCCTAAATTGCCACTCGTGTCCACCCATCCCCCAGACCCACACCTACCGTTACCCGAATCGTGAGCGGTACATGTCCCTTCACATGCGTCGACCGTCCCGAGTTACGGCAAATTCGCGCACCTGTCCTCGCGAAATCAGCGTATGAACTATTTGGACCCGCCCTATATTTCTAGGGGCAAAATCTGGAAACAAGTGGACTGGATGGAGGGTGGTCAGGTTTGGCGCACAAGTCGTATGCTCTAAGTGTTATGAAGCATAACTTACAGTATAGTGCACAATACAATAAGGGAGCATGACTACAATATGTGTCTAACAATGAATGGCCTAGGGCTTATATAGTGCGAGTTGACCAGGTTGAACCTTAAGGGTTGGACCAGTCAAGGGCTCGTTAGTTCCGAGGGCGACGGGGTCAAATTGGGTTCGGGGTGCCTCGGTAACAGGTTCGGGGCCGAATAGGTCAGCGGACTTGGTCTGACACGAGACTTGAGGGCCGAAGCTGCGGATGCAAACTGTTCGGGGTACTCGCTGTGGCAAAACCCAGTAAGGATTCGTTAAATCCTTACATCCTCCCACATTCTAAAGAGTGCCCTCCGTATGACGAAGGTCAAACTATAGGTATTCAGCACAGTGACGAGCGTAATGATTACGGCGTCCTAATGAGGTCTTGGGCGAGCCAATATCCGACGACTCATATTGGCCAAGAACGATCTTGACCGTTGAGTGATAATTACGAGTCAGCATTGTCGGTGGCGAAGATTGTCACTGGTGATCTGACGAAGCCTTCAAATCGAAAGGCTTTCGATGGCTTGAATTTGGCGAGGTGGCTTGAGGTTGTCGAGGCAATCGGACCGTTAGTCTCGACTGAGGATCTCAAGGTTGAAAGGTGTCAAAACGATCGCTTTAAATCTCAGCCGTCGAAGATGGTCGAATTTCCCAACTGACTGATCGGGCAAGAGTGAATACTCCAGCGGAAGCCTGTGAATAGTGAAAACGGTCGAGTGGTCGATTGATGATGACGCGTGGCTGATGGAAAATCTTGTAATGATAACTGGCGAATGACGTGGCCAATGAAATGAAGAACCCATTCACCAAACGCGAGGTCGTTCGTAACACATGCGCGAGCACACGTGTGTGTCTAACGAAAATTAGCAAACTTCATCAACGAACTGACAAACAGAGGCGGGGAAGCGTAACGGTGACGAATGTAGATTGCAAATTGATGATGGAACGCGCCAGAAGGGCTAGACAAAATCTGCAGCGCAGCTGCCCTTCTTACCCCCTCCAAGAAGAAACAGCTCCCAACGATCCAGGTAAAACCTCCAGGTATCCTAATACTGCAGGGTATGAAATTATCCCCACACTGCCCCATAATTCAGTTTCGAAGACACGATTGAAAAACTCCAACCTGTAGATACTTCAAATGCTCCAATGTTGAAATTCCTCAGCCATCATCCAATAGTGGTATAATGACTCGTCTGTACTTTGCATACTCACATTACGCATACTTTGTTGTTAAAATATGACTAAGTTCAGTAATTTGGGTTTTGTTTTTTACAAAACCTTAACTACCAAGCCTTCGAACTTCATGAATATAGCCGAGGATGTTTGATATCTCCTGCAATTTCCAATGCCATTGTCGTAAGAGAGAACAAATGAAGATCTTGGCATGTCATTATTGTAATAATTTCGCAGGGTTTGGATTGACCCTTCCGAAGGGCAGAAGGCTTGGTCAAGTCACACAGACAAGTAGGCAGCAACATTCGTTTGCTTAAAATAAGATGGTTTTTATGTACGGTTATGATTTTATCATATGTATATACCATATGGTTTTGTTGCAGTACTAGGCCATTGATTTGATTATGCGTGTCCACGAACTGGTTTTTATTACATTTTAGGATGGATTAAGACATCATAATTGAATGAGTTACAAACTTCCATTTGTAACTCCCATTTCTCTAACAAGCTGGTGAAATTGCTTGGAAATCAGTCGCGCACAAAGGGCGAGGCCATGCGCGACTGAACATTGTGCAAACCTTAACAGTAGTTCAGGGCGCGTGGAATTTTTTATGGGAGTTTCAGCTTTCCAATGGTTGTTTCATTTTGTAACCGAACGTGATAGCTTCGGCCCCGAGCGAGTGACGATTCATGATAATGAATGACAAATTGTGATAGATTTACCACTAAAAGTGACTGTCACTTTTAGTGGTCACTTGAGCTGTAGCCCAAAACTAGTCAAATACTCCGGTACCCCTGACCAGCTAGCCGTGCAGGCGTTCACCCATCTCGCGGCTGCAGCAGGTTACCCAAAACCGCTTCACTGCTGCATCTTAACTAACTCGTGTAAAATCTGCGCTATCAGGGGCGTGGAGGGCACACGACAAAGTCGGCTGGACTAAAGAAGTCCACGCACGACCGCTGGACACTTCCTGCCTCCCAACGTGCCAGGGTAGGACACTCGGAAACTTACACCCCCAAAAGTCAGAAACTCCTCTACTAGACTAGGGTAAACCCTCTGTTCCACTGCAATAGTAACTCCTGAAAATTTGGGGACACCCCTCAGCACAGTATAGATTGCAGGTTCACTCCCCTTTTGCCAAGTGTGGACGACCCATAGTCGACACTACAACTTGGTGAGAATGGTGATATTCGGGGGATGAAGCTCCATCAGCAGGGGATCCGTATCCTGCCTAACGTTTAACTAAAATCCGGCTTCTTCCAATTGTTTTACTTCCACTGCTTCAGCTCTTGACGATTTGACGCATGCGGTGCCATGGTGGAAAACACTAAATACACACCCTTAGGTGGTGGCCTCCGTTTCCATTGATCGTGGGGATATGAACGGTGCTCCACGAAAACGCCTCCCCAACTCGCTGAAAGGATTCCAGAGCAGCTTCATCCTCCAAATGAGACAGCCTATGCAAAACAGCCGAGGTAGTTAGTCTCGTGCTGCTGCTGTCCGGCTCACCCATTCGTGTGACTGTGCGATCATGGCATTCCGAAATAATCGCAGCCGCCCCTTGCCAAAATAGTCACGGAAGTCCCGTCCATTGCCTGCAACTAGCCTGTCGGAAACGCCGACGCCAGCGATGCAACTGTACTTCACCATGCAACTATATGGTACAACAAACGTACATCGCCATACGTCCCGCCATTTTAACCCATTCGCGCACTCCTGGCGACCATCACCCAGCCACCCGAGGACTCCCCTGTGCCTGTCTTCTCCTGACGACTCCTCGCAATTTTCGGAAACCAATCCGAAAACGCCGTTAGAACCTGCTGAAAATCACGAAACACTAGCAAAAATACCTCTCGACGCCACCTCCCGCCACTAGCAAAAACTCTGGCAAAAACGTCGCCATTACTTCGACGTAAAATAATTCCGTCTACGCCCGGGGAAGGGGAGGACCGGCTAATCTCAGCCGTCCATCGGACAGGATCCGGTGGCATCGGAAGCGCTACGCCACCAGCATCCTTCCGCCCCCTTCCCCGATAGGGACTGCTCCCCTATTGAAACCTAGATGGGTAGAATCGTGACTTTGATACCAGATGTTATGAAATATAACTCAAAGTATAGCGCAAAAGACTATAAGGGAGCATGACTACAGTATGTTTTTAACAATGAATGCTCAGGGCTTATATAATACAAGTTGACCAGGTTGAACCTCAAGGGTTGGACCAGTGAAGGGCTCGATAGTCCCGAGGGCGACGGGGTCAGATTGGTTTCGAGGCCGAATAGGTTGGTGGTCTTAGTCTGACGCAAGACTTGAGGGATGTGGCCGTGGATGCGAACTGTTTTGGTTACTCTTTGTAACGAAACCCAGTAAGGATTCGTGAAATCCTTACACTAAGCGCCTCCCCTACACGCTCAAAATTATACACCATACTCCATTTATATTTTTAGTCCCCTCTGATGTACGCCACAGTTTCGATTTACATGTTTACATTGCACGTATGGACAGCGTCGAGAAAGGCAGAATTGTCCACTGGAATCATTGGTGAAAATCCGTGCGGTAAGCGATTGGCATAACGCACTTGGTGATATGTTTCGTCAACATATGTCCACCCTCAGGGTCTCAGATTTCAGGTTCAAAAGGCTTGAAACTATATGTGAGGGTGTCTTTTAGGGCACAGTCTGATATTTCAGCATTCGATTTTGGACAAACCTGAAAGTCTTGTGTTCCCAGATTCGTAAGTCTGGAAAAATGTATGTGGCGAATCAGCCTCTACTAAATTTTAGCATGAAACAGAAGAACCCTATCTAATCATGCCATGACCCCCTGAGCAGTTTTGACAGTGGTCCGAGCAAACCTGGAGCAGGTGTGAGCAGGGCCCAAAATTGGTTTGGAGCACAATTTGGAATCAGGGTGGCAAAACACGTTTTGAGTGGCTCGTTCGTCTAAACCCTGTCGTAAAGAGTGGCTCGTTTTTCGAGTCTG